TTTCAGAAAGCTTTACTTGAGGAGTTCCATACAGTTGATGAAACAATGGTTGCTTCACAAGCTTGTTCCAAATTAAGGAAGCGCAATATCAGTTATGTAAAAACAATTACAGATAAACAAATGAAGAAATGTCTGTTGTTGTTTAAAAAAGATTTGAAAAAGCAAGATAGAGGAACCTTTGATTTTTGAGTTAAAAAAGAATCAAATAAAGTTCAAATTTGTTGGTACTCGGTGAAGTTAAGGCGATTTTTAATAATTATAGTATCTGTATATTTGTTATATATTTTGTTAACTAGAACATATTTCTGTTAAATGATCATTTCTGTGAATCATGAAAAGACAAAAAAAAATTAAAAATGATAAATTTTGCCTTAACATAAAATAAAAATGCTTGTAAAAAAAACCCAGACCAAAGATTCTTTGTTAAAAAAAAAACAAAAAACAAAACAACCTTAAAATCACGATTGCTTGTTCAAATTTGAAAAAGATTTTAAATAAATACGCTTTTTAGGTGAAATGAACATCATAGTTTTATAATATGATCTGTTTATTGACAATTTTTCTTAATTATAAGCGCTTTTTTGGTCCGAATTTTGATATTTTTTGTGAAACTTAATAGAAATGTTGTGTTTTGACAATTATATTAAATTAATATGTGCTAGAACTGATTAGAGCTAGAATCTAAAGTAGATTAAGGCACTTTTTCAAAAAATTTTAACTAAAATTAAGTTAACGCTGTTGATCTTAAGACTCAAAAATGATGTTCCTTAAATTCACAATTAGGGGAAATAAAAAAGTTTTAAAAATTATATAAAAAAGAGAAAAGTTTCTTTAAACATAAAAACTTGAAGCAATAAAAATTATAGCATCTAAAGCTCTTGTTTGGACATAATACGCTAATAAAATCATGCTAATTCCAAATAAAAGAACTCAAATAACTTATAAATCGCCTTAACTACACCAAGTATAATAAAGAATCAGTTAATTTAGTTTCTTCATATGTAAGCATTCAACAACTTCACACTGTTCACAGATATAATCTTTCAGTGAAAATAAAAATTGATGTAAGGCAGCCCAACATTGTTCATGTATATAACCAATACAAGAACAATGTTGTGTAATGTCATGACTTTTATATAATATTAATAACTCTGATATTAGTTTGATTATCCTCAAGAATATAATTGCACTTAATTTGTTTATCTTATACTTTAAACATAGATGAGTATTTGACTTAATGAAAATCCCGAAAAAAAATTTTCTATGAAAATCCCGGAGAATTATTTTATTAAAAATTGATCGTATTTAATTGACAAACGGAATTTAGATTATATAACTTTTTACAAAAAGGAATTTCTAATATTCAAAAAAGTTTGAATGAATTAAAAAGCAAAAAAAAAAAAGAAAAAAAATTGTTACAAAAAGTGATCTCATGAAAATTTTAATTATAGAAAACATATTTGTTTAAATGCAAAAGTTGTCGTATGTAAAATTTTATGTAAAAATATATTAATTTTTTTTCAAATTAATATCAAAAAACATCCAGAAATTTCTGGAAAAATGAAAGGTGTTTTGAAAAAAATGAAAAGTGAATTTCTGGAATTCCAGGAATTTCCCGAAAAAACTCATCTATGTTTAAAAACAACATTTTTGATAAAATTCAGAAGATAGTATCATGAGATAGAATACATTAATAAAATGTAAAACAAAGAATTGTGACTGTAATTGTAAACAAATTATTTCATCCCTATAAAATGTAAATAAAGAATGATATATGAAAAATAAAAAACAATTGTTGCTAAACATGTCAATTTTGTAGAATTATTTGATTACTTGGCTGTAGAAAAGAAATTTTTGATTTTTATATGCGTAAAGGGTTGAAATTTAAATCATTTACTGCACATTACAAAATAACTAAATTTAGCATTTGAAAATCAACTACCATGTATTTAGAGTAGACATCCGTGACAATGACCTACTTGTATCCCTAAAATAAAGAACCTCATTCCTCAATCTTTTTTTTTTATTTTAACATATCTTTATCTAATTCAATAAAGTCTAGTTCACAGTTTAATGGGCCCACTTGTAACTTTAATCAAATTAAATTGAACTCCTCTTGCACACCTAATGTAAAGTTTGCTGCTCTTCTGTTGTTATTTATTTGTTTTTGTAGCTGGTTTTAACTATATTTCATAGTTATCATAGTTTTCAACTTTTTGGACAAATAATCAAACAATAATTTTCCAAAATATTTTTCAACTCCACGAACCTTCATTTTTTATATGGTTTAAATAAAAAAGTTAACATCCACTGTTAAAATTAAATGGTTTTTTTCCAAAGCCTGTTGTTGTACACCGATGCTAAAGTTTAAGGTCAATTGTAATTACTTTATCAACTCCAACAACTTAATTAGAAAGTTAATACTCATCATATTCCATCATCAACCAAACACATAGTACTTTCCTCCTTTTTGAAGAACTGAGGCTAACTTTTGCCAAAATACTCTAGCAAGAATGATACAATCATTTAATCTCTTTGAGGTATACTTAGTAACTGCTTCTAGAACTTTTTTTTAACTAGCTATTATGGACTTCTTAAAAAGTTTTGTTCAGAAAAAAACTTCAGATAAAATCTTTTTTTCTTCCTAAAACGCAACGATTAAAAATCAAATTTATCCAATCAAAATTTAAATAGCATAAATTTGAAAGAAAAGTTAAGTAACTTTATACGCCAAAAAACAATTACAAAGACTTTTATTTTTTATATCTTTAAAAATATCTAAAAACTGAATTGTTTTTTGAATTTTTGTCAAAAAATTAAGAATAACTGGTTAAACAAGAAATATAGAATTTTGGACCCCCTATTGGTATCTAGTGAATTCATCACTTAATTGTGCTTGTCATACTCTAAATGTTGATTCTAATCTTTACTTTTATGAATCAAGCATTCCCAGGAAAGGCGTGCAGTTTTTCGTCTTGTACGATTACGAAAACATTTTTCAAGTTAAAGAACGTGATCACAGCCGTTTGCGCAAGTTATATTATTTGCGTTACTGAAAAATTGTTTTAAATTTAATAACTACATAAGAAATTAAAGTAAACTTATATAGAAAACAATAATAATAATAGTTTAAATTTGTGTTGTGCTTTTATTTTTGTTTTTTTTTAGTGGTTAAATTATCGACAACAAAATTCAGTTATCGGCAATAAAATTGAAGAAAAAAAAACGGTTTCAGGCATTAAAAAGGATGACTTTCCCATACTTTATATGTTTTTTCTTTTAAAGAGGAAAGAGAAAATATGTATCGTCAAAACAATAAACTTACGATTAGAAAAGTAATAACACTCTAGTCACTAACTGCATTATAAAAGTAATAAAACTATAATAGTGTTATTACATTTATAAAGCACTTATTACTTTTAAAGTTTATTCTTTGTTTAAACAACATTTTTAATTCCAAACATTTATTAAAGTAGAAAAGCATCTAGGAAAAATAAAGCGGATATTTAAATATTATTAAAAATTTCAGGAACGTTCACAGATCACTTAAACAACGTTATAAAAAAGTACTTTATGAAAAGTATAGCATTATGAAAAACATTATGTAAAAACGTGCATTAATTTTAAAATCAAACAATAAAAAAATTTTATTGGTTAATTTTAAAATTGACGCGCGTTTCAACTGTCCATTTGTAACATTTTTCATAATGCTAAACTTTAAATACGATATGTTTTTATAAGTTATTTAAGTTTTAATATTATTTGAACATCCACTTTATTCTTCTAGATATTTTTCTACTTCAACTAAAATTTGGGAATACTAATGTTGCTTGAACAAAGAATGAATTTTAAAAGTTATAAGTGCGTTATAAAAGTAATAACATTATTATAGTGTTATTACTTTTGTAATGCAGTTAGTGACTAGAGTGTTATTACTTTTGTAATCATAAGTTTATTGTTTTATTTTTTCGCTAACAAATTTAAGTTGATTCTCCCCTTAAAAACAAGGAACACAGTTTTGTATAAACTAAAATTTTGAATACTAGATATTTTTCCAGATTTTGCGTTTTGCATTCGCTTAATTCAACCCTTGTTGTTACATTAAAATTATACAAATAAATTTTACAAACCCATTGCAATTTGTATTTTTGCTATCCTCTTCAAAAACATTAAGAAAAGGAAAATCATTCTTTTTATTGTAGACTTCAAACTGTTTTTTTTTTTTGCTTCGCCTTATCTAATTTTGTTGCTGAATGTAACTCTAAGGAAACAAAAATAAAAACAGTACACAAATTATTTAAATTATTAATTTGTTTTTTATTTTTTTCTATTTCAATCTCTTTTTATTTTGTTAGTTTAGTTTTGTTTTGTTTTTGAAACTTTTTCAGCATTACTATAAAACTTGCAAACAGCTGTGTTCACATTTTCTAAAATAATATACTCGTGTGTGGTCATAGGAGACGAAAAACCGCACGCCTTTCCTGGGAAGGCTTGATGAACCTATCATTTGCTAGGCTTGAACCTGTCCACTTGTTGTAAATTTGTATCTCTTTTTTCTACAAATGGTACTATGGTCACTACTTAAATGAGCTATCATCACATGTTCCATCAACAAAAACTCAATCTCATAATTTTGTGCATCATCATCAAGTCGCAAACTTTTACTGTAACCACGATGCTCAAAAAACTTTTATTTGTGTAGTTTTCTTCTTCTTAAATATCATTATTATAAAAAATATTCTCTAGGCTATATATTTTGGTGACTCAGAATTTACAGCTTTCTAAACAAGCAACCAATTTTTTAATCAATCAACCTACTTAATAGAAAAAAAAAGCATTCAGTTTTTTAATAATAAGAATTGTACTCTGTTAATTATTTCTAAAAAATATGCTTAAAATTTTTCAAGTCAAAGTAAAAAGTAAATTGAAATTAAAAAGTATTTTGATTTCTGTTGAAAATTTTACTTAGATTTTACTAATATCAATATAAAACAACATACCTTGTAAAAAAATCTTCATCTAAGCAACATGGTTTTGGAATTGCTTTCATAGAAGAACGAAGTTGTAGCATTTCATCCTATTAAAACACAAAATCTAAAATACTTCTGTTCTACAAATTAATTATTTCTTAAAATTATTATGTTACTTTATGTTTGCTATTGAGCATAAAAAGTTACAAAAATGAGTAGTCTTTATGACCACAGTAGTCTATATCTAGTAAAGTGCGCACCAAGTTTGCCTTGGGAAGATGTATAAAATGTATTAAAAAAATTAAAAAACAAAAAACTCAAACCAAAGATTATTATTAACTTATTGTTGATTTAAAAAACTATTCTATACTAAATTATACTTTTTGACAACTATTTGAAAGTAACTATTTTGGGTAATTTTGATCCCAGGCTCGAAATAGAACTACCATGCTATTTTCTTAACCTATGAACTGTCAATGACCTTCTCTTGCAGCCAACCTTCAACCAGTGTCACATCATAGTAATGTTACTTCTCTTTCTCTTTTCTATAAATACTATAATGGGCGATGCTCTAAACAGCTAGCGCCTCTTATGCCATCTACCGAAATTCATTCTCGTGTTACTCAATCAACATTCAATTAAATCTCATCCATTTTCTGTGACTATTCCTAAGTACTCAGAAAATTCTTATTCACCTAGCTTTTTTTTTTCTAAATATCAGTTTTTTGGAATTTGCTCCCTTCTTCCTGATTCATATAATATGCAATCGTTAAAGTCATCTGACAATCGTTATGTTGTTTTATAAACTTTATATTTACTCTTCCTGTAACCTCATACTCTGATAGTAGTCACTTGCAGCCTTGTTGGAAGTAAAGATATTTATAAAAAAATTTTAATTATATACACTAGACCTTTTGAAAAACTACAATGGTTTATAAGATAGCAAATGGCTACATAAATATATAAAATTTAGTTACCTTTGTGTAAACATACTTATTATTTGATTCCACTAAAGACTTTTCATCCAACAAATCAGCTATAAAGTAAGTATAAAATATTATAAGTTTTTGAATACCCATATTAAGGAAAATAAATCAGCAGTTAAATAAATCAGAAGTTTTTGGAAACTGAGATCCATTTTCCTAAATACTTTGAAAAAAACTTTGAAAAAGAACAAATTTAATTCCTAAAACTTTGATAGAAGCCAATTAAAATTAAAATAGCTTAAAATTAGGAAAATGTTAAATTAAAATTTAACATTTTCCTACTTTTAATTAAAAAATTGAAAAATTGAAAAAAAAAAAAAAACCTGCACAAAAAACCATTTTTAAGTTGTAACAAGCTATTTTACACATAAAACATATAATTAACTGTTTAAGAATTATCTCAAATAAAGCTGCTGCTATCCCTGAAATTCACATATTATATCTTATCATGTCCATATATTATTATATATATCATATCATAATCCATATATTATATAAGAAAAAAGCAAGTTTTTCTTATATAATATATGGATTTTTTTTTTAACACCTTCACTTCAAAAAAGCAACCACTATTAGAGTTAGAAGTTACTGGAAGAGAAGGGACGAAGTTTGCAGAGCAAGAAAACGATTAACAGACGACTGAAAAAATCGCATATTATATGAATCAGGAAAGCAAGATGAAGCAAGCGAATTCCAAAGAACTGATGTTGGAGGAGAAAAACTAGATGAATAAGAGTTTTTAGAGCACTTAGGAACAGTCACAGAAAAAGGCCTTATTGAATTATGAGTAACAGAAGAATGAATTTTAGTAGAGGGCACAAAGAATATAAAATACTATAATGGGCATTACTCTAATAGCTAGCATCTTGCTAGCTTTTTAGAGTAGCGCCCATTATGGTATTTGTAGAAAAGAGAAAGAGAAACAACATTATGACAATGTGATAATGGTTGGAGGTTTGCTGCAAGAGCAGATCCAACTATGTTAACAATGCATTTTTGCACCTTGTCTAAAAGAGAAAGGGCATCAATACAAGATTCGCCCCAGATATGGCAACAGTATTCCATACAAGGTCGGACTTGAGATTTATAGAGATAATTGAAATAATTGTTTTGTTGATAGATATGGAAATAACGATTTGATTGGAAATTGCAGCAGCACAGTGTAAGGAAAACTATGGAGAAGAGTGAGGAACCTGGAGGTAATAAAAGATTCCATGCCAGCCTAAATTCTCAAAGTTATGAGAAGCACATTTGTCAGCATGAAGACGAAAGATTTCTACCCAAGGGCCATCACAAATCAAGGAAAAAGTCCCAGTCAGCTTTATGGTAGTTGTAAGAGGTGCAATGATAGGGGGATTCTGATGAAGAAGAATGAGATAATAGTTTTAAAGAGATCAAACTTTGATCAGAAGCACCTACACATTATTAGGATTATTTAGGTTGGGTATGTTAACTTCAAGATAATTTGATAGTTAAGCAATGAAATCTAACTATTCCTTAGTCAGGTTATACCTTACAATTTTTTTTTTTTTTTATAATAAAATTTCTAAAGTAAAAAAAGATTTAATAAATTTAATTCAAGTTACTTTAAAATGTTCGTATTACATAAAACTTTATTTTAATTTCAGTTAAGTTTCAGGTAAGTTCCAGTTTCAAATACTAGTCTGAATAATGCGCTGAACAAAAGCACATTATTTTCCAGTTTCTTTATTTTTCCATTATTTTACAGTTTCATTCATTACTTACAGAAGCGCGTTATTCATTTTATAACTACAAGTTAATAAATAACATCAATACAAAAAAGTTCTTTTAAACTCGAGTTATAAATGTTATGTTTGGGTTTTCCCTTAGCTGTTTGCCAAAAAAAAATTTTTATAAAACAAACCAAAATTCAAACTTATTTAAAATAACTGATCAGTAAATAAACTCTTAAAAAGCCCAACTTATATTTATTTTATTTTAAAAACAAAACTAGTACTAGAGCTATAAATAAAAGATACATAAATTTCAAAATTATAATGATGTTTGTTAAAAACAAACTCTGCTTATAACATCTTAAAACCCGAAAACACTATTTTTTATTTTTTTTTAAATTGAGTAAAAAAATAATAAAAATATATTAGGTTTCACTGTACATAAAAATGAAATATTTTAATGGAAATAAAATAAAATAAAGCCGAAAAGCAGTAAATTTCGTTTTTTTACATTATTTATTTTATCAAAACCAGTTAGTGCAATCGTTTTTTTAAAAAGGGGAAAACCCAATCTCTGCGTTTAGTTGTAAGTACATTTGAATCCTTTTAAGAAAATCAACCATAAACAAGTGTTAAATTTAAATTATTTAAAAAAAAAATATTTAAAAAAACAACAACCATAAAACGAATGTTTGAAAGCAAAAAAATTAAGTTTAAATAAGTATAAGATTTTAATACAAGAAGAGTTTTTTTTAATCAACATTGAAACTTTAGTTTTTTTTTATAACAATATTGTTCAATTAAAAGCTATTTTGTTTCAAAGACTAACAATAGTTTTTAATGTCATTTTAAATCTAATTACAATGAAGTAAAAACGCAACTGACGTAATTTAACTTTTAACAATGTTAATATCTTTATTGAGTAAAGTTACATTTATTCACGTTTCGCTTTTCCGCTACGCAGCGAAATCTCGTAACAAGGCCTGATATATATATATATATATATATATATATATATATATATATATATATATATATATATATATATATATATATTCTTATATATATATATATATTCTTACATATATATATATATATTCTTATATATATATATATATATATATATATATATATATATATATATATATATATATATATATATATATTCTTATATATATATATATATTCTTATATATATATATATATATATATTCTTATATATATATATATATATATATATTCTTATATATATATAGTCTTGCATGGTAGTCACAAAGTTTTTCCCATAAAGAGTGCGTTAATAAGCCTGACCAGAAAATGTTAAAAAACTTTAAAAAAAAATATTTTTTTTAATGATAGACTGCCTGCCCAAACCAAACCCTCAGTCAATGTAGCAGCACTCCCTTGCGAGTCAGGCTATTTGTCAGTTGATGTAGCAGCACTCCCTTGCGAGTCAGGCTATTTGTCAGTCGATGTAGCAGCACTCTGTTGCAAGTCAGGCTATAAGATAGTCGATATAGCAACACTTACGCATGTTTTAAAAATGTTTTTTAATAAAACAAAAACATCACTTATTAAAAAAACTTTCTAGTCATTATTATTGCGGGTTTTTTTAAAAACAATAAAATTTAATGTACTCCCGCATTAATTTAATTGCTTTGACATTTCGACGACAACAAAATGCAGCTAAAGAGACAAGGTAAAAAAATTGTAGTCAAAGGAGAATTTTTTTACCATCTAAGTCTCTTTCGACTACACTATAAGGATATATATATATATATATATATATATATATATATATATATATATATATATATATATATACCAGGGGCTATTTTAGATCGTTTTTGACAGCATCTACCGTATTTGGGCTCCGCTTAAATTAAAATTTGAGGACTTTTTTTTTCATTTTATTTTATGTTTTTACGGCAAATATTGAGAAAAAATGCTTATTGATCGCTAAAGACCGCCAAAACGGGGGTACTGCCGCTCAAATTTTTCTTTCCTAGAATAGACCCTGTATATATATGTATATATATATGTATATATATATATATATATATATATATATATATATATATATATATATATATATATATATATATATATATATATATATATATATATATGTAGTTTTTTTTATCCATTTATTTAACCATAAAATCGAAAATTACAAACTTAACCATAATTTATTTAACTAGGTTCGGGTGTCACTCATATAGTTAAAAACTAGTCAATTGAGTGACACCTTAATAAAATAAACAAACAAAATAAAAAAATATTAAAACAAGGAAATATTAAAGTACATTAATACAAGTAATAAAAAAAGAAGTATAAGGAATAACAATATTAAAAAAGTTGGAATTAGAACAAAAATATACAGGAGTAACGCTAAGAAAAATGAATGAAAAAAAGACAGAGAATGAACGGATGAAATAAGGATGTGAGAAAATATGTAAAAAAAAAAATTTAATGACATAAGTTCAGAAGGATAGAGACTCAATAATTGTTTTCTATCACTCTATGAGTGATAGAAAACAATTGTTGCAGAAAAATATAAAAAAGCAAAATAAAGGCAAATTTAAATAAAAAAGTATATACATACACTACTACATACAATATTAAAGCCTATATTATGCATTACATAGATTAGTAAAACAAAAGTAAATATCAAGATATAGAAAAAGAAACAACAAATAAATTGACAGAAAAAAATGCAAAAAAATAAACAAATTAAACATTTTTATATACATAAATACATGACAATATAAACAATGTACAAAATTAATTAAATTGTTTTTTTTCTTTTTTTACCATACTAAATATTGGAAAACAGAAAAAACTTATATATATATAAAAAAATATATATATATATATATATATATATATATATATATATATATATATATATATATATATATATATATATATATATATATATATATATATATATATATATATATATATATATATATATATATATATGTTTAACAATAATAATAAAATATCCACATATGTTTAACAATAATAATAAAAGTACTTTTATTGGAAATGTTGCCATTATTTAGGTCAACTTTCAAATCTTCAGGAGCAGGAACTTCCTCCAAGTTCATTTTATTAATACAAATTTGACATAACAAGTAGTAAAAACATATAAAAGATAAAGTTTAGTTAAAAAGAAACTGTAATTGAATGATCTAACTGGCAAAACTTTCCAAGGTTTTCTCTTTCAAGTCTCTCTAAAGATCATCCAAAATAGTTTTCCGTTACTCAGAGGAATCGCGGGTAAATATTTCTGTTTTTTTTATTTTTTGTTTTTGGTAGAAAGCCTGGTATCTAACTATCAAACACGGCATGGCATTTTCTAATTAAATGTTGTGGGACCATAGTATTACTGCAATACTTCGTGCTCATTCTTCGTCTGATAAGAAAATATTTGATTAGATTATATATTTTTTATTAATTTTATTGCCATCAGGAAAGCATCCGCTAACTCTTCAAAATAACGGTTTCAATTTAACAAAACATTTATTAAATTTTTTGTTTTTATCATAAACAAACAAAGAATGTAGTTAAGTATAATAACAAACTATGTAATTATAATGTATAATAATTTACTAAATTTAAGTTACTTTATAGTTTGAAACTTTCTAAAAATTATTATTATTACTATTAATTTTATTTCTTGGCAAGTAAAAAAGTTTTTCCTTCAGAACGATTTAAAAAAAAATAAAAGAAATTTCAATATTTTAAATGGCTTTACTATAATGAGTAAAGAAATTCAGCTAAGTTTTTTGGGTCCTAAGGAAAAAACTTTTTAACCGTTAGTCTTTTTTTAGAAAATAACTTTTGCGTTCGCTAAATGTGAATTTTAATTTTTCTTTTTTTTTTTTAATTTGTTATTTAGACTAAGAAGTCCTAACGTTCTCGTCACGGAGCACCGCGGAACCAGGATGTTCACACCTCCTTCCTTACCGTAACGCAAAATATGTCCAAAGCTCCTTTCAAACCTGGATCTCCTGGTTATAATGCAAGCGCTCTAACCGCTGCGACACGGCCGCACAAATTTCTAAAGATACACAGTTAATAATTTCAGGTAATGGAAAACTAATATTTAAGGTGTCTTCTGTAATGAACTTGCTCGAATACCAACAATGATTTTTTAAGATTATAGAGACAAGGGGATAGCAACACCTAAATAAACAATGAAAACAAATTCCATGCACAATCATTTAAAACTTTAGTAAAATCCTGTGTTAGCACAAATGACAGCTTTGCAGTTCTCTGATTTGATTGGCCGTCTAAAGGACACATTGTTGTTTTACATTAACAGCTAATTGCTACCTATTATGTACCACAATAACTTTCATATGATGTTTGTTTTATGTTTGGCAGATGCTAGACAAATATAGACTACAGTATTGAAAGTTGCACTTAAAGATGCAAAATGAGTAAGAAGGTGGTTTAAACACATAAATTTAATTTATTTACCTACATAAGAATACTCAGAAAATAAAAATTGGATGATTGAAGTTTAACTTCAGTTTAAGTTTAATTTGTAACTAATCAATAAACAAATTTATGCTTTTAAACCTAAGCATGAGTGAAAAAGAACTGTATCACAGACGGAAAAGAATCAAAAAAACTTTTTAGGGTTTTTGATATTTATTTTGATATTTATAGACAACATTCAAAATAGATTCGAACGCCATAATTCCTTAACATACGTTTTATCAATAACGATAAAACGTATTATTTTACGTAATAACGTTGATGTTATCTAGCTTTAGATGCACTGCAACCTAGTACAGAACGTGAAATGCAACCTTTTTCAGGGGTGGATCTAGGATTTATTTCTCCTTTGGCAATTTTTTTTATATTACTGCCTCCCGCCCCCCTCTTAACTTTTTTGTTTTGTTTTGTTATTAAGGTGCTCTAAGAAGTCTTAATGGTCTTGTCACAGAGCACCGCCACAAGGAGAATAGCATTTATAAGTTGGCTCTCCGTTTCTAACCTTCCGATAACGTTTATGTGCTTCGAGTAGGGATCGAACTTGCAACCCTTAGATTACGAATCCAAAGCTCTAACCGCTGAGCCACGATTGCTAAAACACAATTCATTTCAGACAGTAGTAATCTCAGATACCAAATAAGCCCCCTCCCCCATTTACTATTTGTGAACTCCCCAAAAACTTGGATTTATATTTTTAAATGGTTTTTACTTGGCACCAGAAGGGTTTTTCCTACGGCTTCTCCCCATAGCTCCCCCTATAGATTCACCCCATTAACACGATTTGAAATCATTTGTTTTGTTGTAATTGAGACTTGGTGTTTGCAGTCTTTTATAAAGATTAGCACGCAATTTCAAAAAAAAAATTTAATGCCAAACTGGTTAAGGCAATATAAGCCTGAAGTTCAAAAAAAATTAACTTAAGAAAATCGCTCCCTCCCAAATTATTGTTTTGGATTTTTTTCTATAAATAAAAACTAGATTCTACATCGGCTTAATCAACCAGGTATTTCACAATCTGTATCGGCAATTAGCACCAGCCTTTTTTTATTGATTTTTTAATTTTTTTAGCCAATTTGAAGAATACAAACCGTTGAAAACAAGTAGTAGATTAAATAGGATTTTAATAATACATTTTAAAAAGTTTGATTTATTGAGTAATAACTAAATTCAGACAAAAAAAAAATCAAAAGAAATCAAATTTCTGACCATTTATGCACACAATACAACGGGTGAGAATGTACCTGTCTGGAAGGCATTTGTTTAAAGCACATGAACCACGTCAAGGTTCCTTCCTATTCATGTGTACGATTTTTTATGCTGAACGACTGAAGTTGTATGCCAGAAAAATACACAATCAATTAGCAAACTGCTTTTCCTTCCACATTTTCATTCATTTACAGAAGACTTAATCATAAAAGATAAAGAGTATTATGACAATAAAATAAAGTTGTTTTTAAACATTTATAAAGTTTTTAAAAAATATTTCATGATTTTAAATTACATACTGTTGGGTAAGGTTAGGAAGCATTAACTTTAAATGTTGATTAAATGGTGATTGATTAAAGATAAAAACTATTCTGTAAATTAGGACAAAAATAAGAAAAATTCCAGTTGTTAAAAATTGGTTCAAAATTTACACAAACCGTCTAAATCACATGCCTGGAATCGTAGTTGCAATTTTGAACAACAAAAAATAAAAATGTGCAAGTTATTTAGTAATATTGTTCAGGAGAGTTTCCTGAACAATATTACTAATAATAATATAACAGTTTTAACAATATAACAATTTTTTCTAAAACAAAAATCCCTATTGAAAGTAAACTAATTTAATTTAATGTAATAATAATTAAGATAAATGATGCATTGTACTGTACTGTTTCAACCAGAAAGGTTTTCCACAACTCTTTAATTACTAAAATGTTTAAATTTTTATTTTCACCATAACCCTAACCCTGACGTTAATATTTTATTTATTATTTATTTTGAAACAGGAAATTTGTTAACCGAAAAAAAGACTAGCTCGTTAACCATATTGTGTGGTTCTTCTGTTTATGTGAGAATCACATGAAAAACAATAATATAGGTATTTGCTATACTTGGTTATAAAGATGACATGTTTTTTATAGCCAATTGATTTAATTATAGCCTCACAATAGTAGTTATAATTTTTTTAGTAATATATAACCAATTAAATAATAATATTAGGTTAGAGAGGGAAGAGGCATTAGAATGCCTCTTTGCTCTTTAAAACATCATCAACATATCTACTATGAGTTTTACATTCATCTTCCATATTTGATGGTTGTCTGATATGAATTTATTTTTAAATTTATTTCCAATTTCATAATTTCAATTTTAAATTTATTATTCAAATTTTGAAAACAGTAATTGTATTTATTTTTTTTAGGATGGGTGGGGGGGGGGGAGGGCATACGCCCTACCCGTAATATAAACACCACTTGTATACGTAAGATCTTGTATAACATAATTTTATATTGTATACTAATTTTACACATTTTAGTAAAGATATAAATATAAAATCAAGTCGTTTTTGATACTAGGGTGTATCAAACCACCACCACCACACCCACCTCTATTGCTAACATACACTTCTCATATATTTTAATGGTTTAGTATAAAATTAAAACAATTTTTTTAATATTTATATTGCTTATGTCTTTAAAACCGTCATAACTTTTGAAGCAATAACTTTTAATTTTCTATTTGCAATCTTTATTAGTAATACTATGTTCTGAGTGAAACAGAAAATTAAAAAAATTTTTTAAACGCGCCAGGTTCACTGTCAAACTTCAAATTTCAAAAAAAGTAAAATATGTTTATGTAAAAATAGCACTGCTAGCTATGTTTTTAAAAAAATTCAAAAAGTGCTTCGCTCAGAACACTCTAAATAGAACAATGTAACACCAAAAAAAAAATTCAGCTTAGTAGCTTTATCCAATCAAAAGTTATTTTTGTTAAAAGACCACAAAAATTGTGAAAAATTAAAGGCAAGAAAAACCTTAAAAAAAAAAAAAATTAAATTAAATGAAACAATAAAACTCAAAAACCAAATTAAAATGCTCCACTAGCATGTCTCTCCTTTCTCAAGTTCATTTTTTATCATTATGACCTTTTCTAATTGAAAGAAGTTTCTTTCTTCTTTGTTTTACTGAGCTAGTTGACTTTTTCTCAGATTGTTTGACACGACAAATATCAGATAATCTAAAACCTTCTTTAGTGAAATACCCATTGTCTATGCCCAGTTTATTAAAAACTGGAAGCAGTACTTGGGCACAGTCATTGTATGCAATAACAGCAGATGCAACTGTAGTTTTAAAAACATCATTTCTAATGTATACCCTTTTTGGGCACCATGTCCATATTAAATTGTTCAAAGACTCATTGACATTCTGAGTCTCACCGCTTTTACCATCAGTCAACTTTTTTCCCTTGTAATCAGCTTTAAGTTTACGCAGTAGTGTTCCAACACGTTTTTGGACATGTCCTATACATTCTCCTTTGGTAATGCTATGACCTGGATATGGATCTGATTTACATATTCAAAGGATTTTGTATCACCATCTCCAATAAAAAATGTGTGAAGATGTACAGAATGAATCTTAGTGAAGACGTACAGAATGTGCAAACATTCTTTTCATTCCTACAACTTCCATAGTTCCAGCACTGCCAATGTGATTTATTGAACATACATGAGTTTCTTTCCAGTTATTATATGCATCTACATTCACTTTTTTTAGTTCCTACATTTTTTAGATAACACTT